ATGGAGCTTAAAGAAAGTGCCTATCGACTGTTGAGACTGGATGGCTCCCTGTGGAAGGGAGAGAAGAAGTCATGACTCCTGTAGCCCAATGCCTTACAAGCTTTAAATCACTTCACTCAAATGTGGTGAAAATGGAGCTGTGGCCTACCCCACCATGACTTCCTCTACAACCCTAAGGATATGCGGGCTTATCAAATGCAATCTAGTCACTTGAAATGTACTTAATAAGGGCCATCCCACACATCCTGTCCAGATTCCCGCACGAGGTCGGCTTTGGAGCCCTCCTTCTCCCGTGGTCAGGCAGGACTGATCATCAACCAGCTCAGGATCGACCATTCGAAAGCGAAATGAAGAAGCATCTCTATGAATACTCTCAAACTCCCCACTTTTATCAAAAACTGCTCTTTGGATGGATCATTTGCGTGTCATCAACTCCCTTATACCTAGAGAACAACTCCAGATGAGATCGAAGAGAACGATCTATTCTGTGGATAATCGAGGTAATGAGAACAAATGTGCAAATGGACGAGACTGCGCTCACCCCTGGCAGCCAACGTGGATACGGGGTGTCGGATAAGATAGCCGATAGGTAGGAAGCTAGGATAACTTGATCGCACTGATGCGCTGTGTTCAAAAACTCGTCTAGACACGCCCTTCCCATCGCCATCATTATTCACCGCTGTCACCTCACCAGTTTGATCCGGGTTGTTGCTTTAATGTTAGAGGCAATACTTACTCTACCTCTTATACTTACTCGCAGGGCTCTGCGTGCTCTGAACCTTGCAGAACTTTGCGTCTCAGGGAAAGAGACGCAGAGCGCTTTAAGGTTCCTCCTCATCCCCTCCCCCCACAAACTCTTTTTCCTCCAACATGTTGCGAAACTTATTGTAAATCCATAGAAACATAACATAGAAATATAGCACAGAAAGCACAGTAATAAGAGTAAAAGGCTTATGTGTTGTTTAGTCGTTTTGCCTTTGGAACTATTTACTATCCTTGTTGTGAACTCTATATTTAGATTTCTTTTCAGAAGAAGTCTGCAGAGCTTCGTTGGAGACACCCTTTTCAGTTTTTCGTTGGTCAAAGTGCACTACGGCTTTCGATTGCGTCTTTTTGTAAGTTGGTGTAGATTCAATTTTAGCTATGGGCGGAGTTTAACAAGAGGTCAGCTATTAAAGGCGATGTTCGCATTGAGGAATTGAGGCCGGCTGGAAGATGGTGACCGGTTGAGGTTGCTACCACTCATTGGCTAAACCATCACTATCGCGCTGGCCCACCGGTATTAGAGCTGAGTGGACAGTGACACCGCTCGATGGATAATCGCTGGTTTTTGGCTTCATTGATTAGTAGGATCTCTATCCTAGATACAGTTATATAGAGTGTGTGATGCACGGCGCATTCCACGAGGTTGAAGAATACCACGCCGTTAACCTTCCCTGTTTGAAATTTCATGTGTGGAAAGCCACTTAAGTACCCCTCTCGTCCTGTCCAATCTCTTTGAATTGCCCTCTAGCACTCGCTCAATCGCCTCACTATCTGACACTGTTTGATCCGAAGGGTGAAAGCTCGCGAGGATTGTTTCAGACCAGCTTTTCCATGCTTCTCTGTTTATCCTCAACTCCACGGCGCAACTGACCGCCCCCGTTGTCGTCTTCTCGTCGCTCCTGCCGCTATTTCGTCGACGACCCGCCCATCGTCCATGGAACTCATATAAAAGTACGGTGCCCGTTTGTTAGGCGATCAGCTGGCCCACTCGAACGCCATGGCGATCCAGATTCTGTGCATTCTTGTTGTTTTGGTAGGTGGAAGCTCATTTACTAGCTTATTTGGATCATCGACGTCATTGATTACACCTTGTTCATGCAGAAGAAGGGGGGGGGGGGGTCTTAGAGATTACGTGTGGTCGTTGGGATTTGTGGTGGGTCGGTTGAATAAAAAGGTGGCTGTAATTAATCGGGGTCGCTGTTCTTGACGCTCGTCTGACCCACGTCTTCTGAAATCAGAATTCCTCCAAATAGTGAACGTTTACAAATAGTATATGGTTTACTCTAGAACATTTATTAAACCAGCGAGGCATTAGACGCTTAATAGGTGAATTTCAGGTCGTTCCCTCCTTCACATTGGACATATGTGACTATTATACCATGACCGGACAGCTGGACAGCCATCCGGAATGTCGACGAGGGATGCCCGAGCCGGAAACGACGCCTAAACCACCACCGCGGATAGGATTCTGTTCAAGGCACGTTTTTTCAAGGCTTGAAATTTTTTCTTTTCTGTAAGAACTTGCTTACCTTAGCAATGCGTTGACTTATTCACTGGATGATATCCAACTAACTCAAGTTCCAACTCGATTTCTGCTTTTCTTGATCTTTTGCATTACTGTAGAGAACTACTATATCTATACTTACTCATCTGTGCACTTAACATCACCTAGTGAACTGAAAATTAATAGATTCAGGGCTTTTTGGTCAGTCGTGTCCAATCACTTACCTTGAAAGCCTTGAATCCCTTAGAGTATATGAGTTTGGGCCAGTTTTATGGCTGTCTAGCTAAAGCCTTAGGAACTCGGCCTTAATTCTGGGTGCCTAACTGTAAGCAGGATAACCAACCTTAACAACATGCCAGTCCCTCTATAAAAGCAAGCTTGGCAGCGAAAAATAACCAAGTTTGGGTTGTTGGGATTCGCCATGGCAAAGGTCACCATGAGACGTATCGGCTTAAAGAGGTTTGATGTTATATGAGGATCAAACTTATTTTTTGTTTGCACGGACAATATGGGTACCACCCTATTTGAAAGAAGAGGCGATTAGCTGGACTTTGGCACCTTTACCCACCTTCTTCAGAAAGATAGATATGTTCCTAAACAACTACTGCAGAGCTCTTTCGTCCCAACCTTCGCAAAATCTAAGTTCTAAATTTTAGCCCTCCCCCCCGCACTCCTTTTTTCTATGGTTGATGTGTATAATCTCGGATGGAGCATCATCTCGGCAAAAGCCTAATCTTTAGTTTAAAATATTCATTTCCAGCTAGGTATCGATAGAGCCTCCTTCGGAAACCTGGCGGACCAAAGCAATTACAGTAACCTGTTTTCAGTTCGGCAGCGCTGATACAGTGCACCTCCGACGCGGTCACCTGCCCGCTGTCCGGTCAGGTATGTATTCAGTCAGACGGAAACAAGTGCTGCCAAATCGAGACCGCTGGTGAGTTGAGTGGTGGAGTGCTGCAAGAAAAACTTGCCTCAAGCATTGTCATCCTGTTAAGCCTCCAGAAAAGCCGGCTTATCCGTTTTATTTGGATAATAAGAACGTCCAGGAAGGGAGCAAGAAAAAAGATGTCCAAAAATAGTCCAAAGGAACGGAAATTCCGGAACAGCTGAGAGAGACGAGAGTAAACGCCAAAATCACCAAAAACCCTTTCATTTCGGCTAGCTACCAGGTCTGCTTAGTCGAGATCATCAAAGGCAGCGAGCGCTTGGGCGACACGGTAGCCATCGAGGAGATGAGAGAGAATACAGAGGAAGTCGTGGGTTGGAGCATAATATCGTAGCGCTTGCATTTTTCATTTCTTCACACAAACATTTGAAGCAAAAAATAAAAACATAAAACTAATCAGTGATGTTCACTTCGTCATTATTTACAACTTTGATGTGTATTAAACAATGTGAGACTTCAAAATTTTATTGCAAAAGACTCAAAACTTTCTACAAAAGAAATTGCAAAAATGTGTGTTTGCAAAAGTTTTGCAAAAGTTTAAGCCTTTCGGCGCTTAGCGCCTTTGTCGAGCCACCCTTGTCGGTTGCGATCAAATTTTGATTGCATTTCGCGGGAGATCACCGGATATAGAATTTTAAAAAATATTGAGCTCGTTTTCGGAGTCCTTATTATTCTCAATTTGTACGAAATGAATATGGTTTTAATTTGAGCGAAAAAGGTAGGGTCGGTTAGAGCAAGGTTCGATTAGAACAATGGATTCAAAAGAACTTCCAATTTGGCGTTTTTCTTCTTTATTTAAACCGAGAATAGCAGCTGTCGAAACGCCGATTTTCGCCGTCTGGATTTTCCAACTTCTAAGCTCTATACCTGAGTACAGCTACAAGTGTTGAAGAAAATGACAACCACGGTTTTGTAGAGCGGGAAGAGTACTTTCAAATAGTATGAGCAGTTTTTCGGGTGATACTTGTACTGACTGAATTTATACGCTCGAAAAAAAAACGCTACGATATTATGCTCCAACCCAATATCATGAACGTTGTCCACCTGCGTTTGGTTCGGTATGGCCGGGGTAAGAGCACTCGAGACTTAATAGCGACTTATCGTCAGTAAGCTGCGTTCTGCCGAAGTATGCCGGACATCGCCTTTTCTGGCGCCTGGTAAGTTTGTTGGTAACTTTGCTATAAGGATAGTTGTGTGGCCAAGACATCCGCTTCCTCCCACAAAAGGATCGCACTTCCTCAGTCCTTCCGATTCGAGTAGGATCAATTCGTGTATCCATTCAAGTCGTTTTTCGACCTCTGTTTGCATTTGTTCTTTGTCATGAATCGTCTCGCACCCACCCACACCCTCTAGCACCTCCAGCTGACCGTCCACCCGTCCACCCGTCCGTACGACCGACCGAAAGTCGCATTGTGTCCAGCGATGCTTTGCAAATACAGCTCAAGCTTGTCTTTCTATTTGATTTGGATCCGGAGAGAGTCATAGGCAGCTAAGTGGAATTTGTTGTGGCTCACAACATGCTCTCAGTTGTCCACGGCACAAAACATCCGTCGGGCAGAAGAAGCGAGAAAGGGCAAGCGGCTGAAGGTCGCACTTGTTTGCCCATTGTGTTACAAAATAGCCACGTACACCTCTCATAGTGCAGTATGACAATGTGCATCCCAGCAGGGTAGCCAGCAATCCGTTCTACAGGAAGAAAACCGTAATCACAATGTGCATCCAAGCAGAGGGGGTAGCCACTATCCGTTCTACGGGAAGAAAACTGTAATCTGTACTGAAGATGACGCTGCTTCCTCTGCGAGTTTATATTAGGACAACTTTTCCGCGAAAGCTCAAACTCTGGCGTCCTGCTGTTTTCGGTGTCAAATTTCCGGGCAATCCTTACAAGCAAGCCTCAAGACCGCTGAAATCTTGTTTTTTAGGTATCCCGGCTTCAGAAATTAACGCAAAATCCGGTTCCTGTCCACGACCGCTCGGTATCTCCGTCTTCCAAGTAAGTCTCCGTCAACAAAATCAAAGCACTTCAGGTTCTGTATGTACGAGACAAGTAGCCTCAACCTAAAGTGTAAACCGGTTGTTTCTTGGACTTCTGGGCAGTTTTACTCAACTTATTGGAGGCTCATCTCACGATAGCAGAAACAGGGGCTAATGTTTTCAGATTCAGCGCAGTTGCTAGCACATGCTATAAATTGACCCGCGAATGAAGTGAAAGAATAGAAAACGTCCAAAGAGCTGAAAAAGGGTTCCCTGGTCTGGGCGGTGAACGCCCACTCTTTCATGGAACTTCGGATGGAGAATTTGGACAAATCCGTCAAGAATGTTGGTTACAAATATGGAGACGAAAGAGTGACTTGAACTTTCCAAGCATGTTATAAGCGAGAAAATGTGGAACTATATAAGGAGAGCTAGTCTACCAGTCTAGCATTTTAGAGTATAAGGCGAGAGAGCGCTACAGATGAGAGAGCGCCAGACAACAGCCTAATAGAAAAATCTGCAGCTTCAGCAGCTTACTTTGCAAGGCCCAAGCGCTCTTGTCGGTTGGTTTCCGTGCACGGGAACGCCACATTTGTGATTGTCCTCTAGGGGTCTATACTACAGACCGAAGAGAAGCGTTCACACGACCTCTGCCTGGGTTGTGCCTTTAAATACAATGTACGTCCTACATCGCACAGCAGCGCTGCGACTTTTCCGTTGACTGTGCCTTCTCACTGCGCGACAGGTCTCCTGTCGGGTACCCTTTCGATCATTCAGCTACATCTCATTGTCAGACCTCATTAGAAGAATAATAGAATCTAAAGTGCACGTTTCAGGACGCCGCGATCGGCTGTTGGATGGACAATAACTGTCCGGGTATTCAGAAATGTTGTGTTGAACCAAACCCTGTGACAAATTCAGCGACGCGAATCTGCCGCGATCCAGTCGGAGTTCGAAGTTAGTTTTGTTTGTAATAATCACCATGGTGTTGCTACCGTTGTTAGATTCTTTGAGAAGCCATTTTTGGTGGAATTTCAAACCCTGATATTACAAGCCAGAGGCAATTGCATGTCCATGCACTGAATCTTTATTTGCAAATAAGCCTTTTTTTCAGAATTATGTTATTCATGAGTTTGGCACATCTATTTGTCACTTCCACCACTCATGATCTAGCTGTTTATTTTTATTCACATTTTTAAAATTGGCATTGCAACTCGAACAGAAAAAGACCACTGAGCAATAGATTTGTTTCGCAGCAAAACAGGGATAAAGGCCTTTCTAGAAGTGGCTTGGGGAGAGTCCATTTCCTTACGACAGTTTTTTTGGGAACATCCATGGGAGCACCTATCCAGAAGCATATTCCTCTATGATGTCGAGTAGAAGTGGTACGCATGGCGTAGCTGGGAATGGGGATCAGGTGCACCCTGCCTGTACCATTTAGGGTTGACTTTATGACATGTGCACTTACCATTAGTGTGAACGATTAAGGTTGCGCCCCTAATTGTAATCTAAGCCGAATGTTAGTGGGTCGAATTTATTAGTAGAGAGATTGGAAATTTTCACTGTTTCAGTGAAATTCATTGAAAAAATCGAAGGAGTTTATCAGTTGAATTCTGCGCCGAAAAAAGTACCTTTTTGTAAGGCCAGGGCCTTCGGTCCTGTTACAGATCAACAAGAGTAAACATTCGTTGCTCATCAATCCCTTTCTGGGCGTATAGCAAGAGACGGAGGTATCCTCTAGGAAAACCCCAGAAGGGCAGGAACTCCGGGGAAACGAAAATTGCTCACGCACCCTGTACTCTCTCCTTCCCTGCCTGAGGCTTAGTCCGGCCTAAGAAAAAGGGAATGTTTTATGCGGTTTCAAGTGCAGAGCCACCACAAGGCCCCTACACATCTTGCGATAGCTCTCCTCTCTGATATGCGCCATGCATTCTTCAAGAACTACATAGTAGTATTCGAATACGGTTTGGCCTATACTATGACTTTCGGAGGTTAGGGGATGGAATGGTTTTATATTTCTGGA